CGTCCTGAAGATCTGAAAGATTATTTACTTGGATGTAAACGCTCAGGGATTTCTGAGCTTTGGCCTGAGAACAGGTGCAGGGGACCTTTAAAAACTAGGCGCCCATGGGACAGACAGCTGCTGTCATTTAAAACACAGGTTCTCAGGGGCCTTCACAAAATGAAGTTCCACCATGAACAAATTGAACATGGAAGTCTAGGCCTTACCTATTCCATAAGTCGAATGACTACAATTCTCAATGGAATTTTGTTCTGTTATAGAGTAGCAAAAATCTTTTAAATATTACCTTACTCATCAAAAGACTTGGAAGCCAAGAAAAAGTTCTGCCGCACACCAACGAACCAGTCTGCTCAGGCTGTCTTCTCTAACCCAATGAACAACTGGCTTACTCCACATTAACTGTACCTTATCTGATCTGCGTATTTTTACACACACACATAATCAAGCCTACGGTGCAGCCAACCCATGCAAGACTGCTCTCCACCCCCCCCCCCTTTTAAGTAGGCTCCATGCCCCACATGGGGCTTGAACTCACGACCCTTATATTAACAGTCATATGTAGGATCCCTGGGTGGCTCAGCAGTTTGGCGCCTGCCTTCTGCCCAGGGTGTGATCCTGGAGTCTTGGGATCGAGTCCCAAGTCAGGCTCCCTGCATGGAGCCTGCTTCTCCCTCTGCCTGTGTCTCTGCCTCTCTCTCTCTCTCTCATGAATAAATATAATCTTAAAAAAAAAAATAACAGTCGCATGCTCTACCTACTAAGCCATCCAGGTACCCCTCTGCAAGACCCCTCTTATGAAATTGTCGTTAAGAATCAGTCATCTTTCCTGAGTAACCCTGCAGGTGCTGGTTTTCAGACTGATCACTTTTCCCTCTTCCTATTGTCCACAACAGGCCACCACAAGCTGAAGGAGCTGTGCACATGGCCTTCATACATGCTACACTATTGACTCGTAAGAACCATTCCTCCCTGGTCAGACTGCATCTAACTCAGGACAGGCAGAGGTGTGCCCTTCCATATAATGCACTGCTGTACGCCTTGAGGACACAGACTGCTGCCTCCCCCAGGCTCAGAATTCAATCTTTTGTGAGCAAAAAATGCACCCAATACAAAAACTAGAGTACATCTTCTTTAATAGATACTTTGGCAGCTGATGACTATGAGACCACAGCTGAATAGCCCACAGAATGACAAACATGTGAAAAACTTGGGTTACTCTGAGATAAACAAATGCCTTCTTCCTCGAACACTAGGTACAGGGACTGAACACCCTTCATTATGTTTTTCATGGACTTCTCACTTCTCACGTCATAATGAAGTTCTTTGGTTAATAACTGAAGCTAGAGAGCCAAATATGTACATTTGTTGGTTCAGAAGTCTTTGGCCCAGAATAAACTCAACCCAAGGTTATGGAGTTAGAAATTTCACGACAATCAGAAACTGACCTTCTTTCCCCATTATCTACATAGAGCTCTACTTGTCTCCCAAGAAAGGAACCAGATTAAAATTTAAGATTTCCTGCAAATGCTATTATTGTAGCTCACTCCAAGTGGATTATTTTCCCTTCTTCCTACCTTCTCCTTTAATTCCAGACCCTTCCAATGGCCTTCAGGTAATTCTGACCCAATGAACCAATCAGAGCAATACTCCAGCTGGCAGAGAGGAAGCACAGCAGTACAATTTTAGACCGTCAGTTAGTTCCCCTCTGGTGCTCTTGTTATGGCAACAGCACTTTTCCACAGCTGATGAGGATGTTATGCAGGAAAAGAAAGGCAGAAAGGCTGAAAGAGTTCTCTATGTTTCTGCTCATTTCTCAGAGCACAACACTCCCAGAAAGAGAAAGTTCAGAACTTACAAAAGCTTTAGGTTCCTTCCAGCTAACCAGTGTTATAAAAGTGAAGACAACTACAGTCACTTTCCCTTCCACTGAGGCTAGATGAAGCTTCTCAAAGAACCAAGTATCATCCTCACTCCTCCAAAGACAGATAAAACAAAACAAAATCCAAGGGCATTATTTTTTTGCCTTGAATTTTACTCAATAAAAATTTCCTCCTCCTCAACAATGAAAACAGGGACTCTTCTAGCAATCTGAGAAATCCAAAGGTCAGAGAGTGTTTCTACCCACCTCTCATTTCCTAAACCATGAGAAGGCAATTTTGAGAAATCTTTCCCAAGGGGTAGGCTGTAACCTCTGATCCCCAATGAAGAAAAAGACTCTCAAAGGAGAAGAAATCATAAGTTCACTATGTTGTGAATGTCCCTGCCCAGTCTGATCATTCAGAGCATTCAGCACATCAACTGCTATTCTGGAATGCTGCAACACGTGTATGACACTCCAGAAGGTTTCCAGAAGTTTAAGACAGGTCAGGCTAATCTCCTTCCTTTCCACTAAATAGATTTCCAGTCCAAACTATCATTTTTCTAAATGATTTCACACCTGAAATGTATCTTAGCACTGGATTCTATACATTTTTTTATTCCAGAAAAATCTTTATCAATCCCCAACCCCCTTTAGGATTTTAAGACCACTGAGAGCAAAGATTGCATTTCCTACTTTTGTCTGTGGTTCCCTTTTGCGCAAAGCAATGAGCTAGGCCCACAGAACTCATTTAAAATACCTAACCATATTATTCAGGTGGCTGGAGGTGACCAAATAACAAACTATCTTATCCTGGCTCAATTACAAGGTGTGTGTGTGTTTGAGAGAGAGAGAGAGAGAGAAAGAGAGAGAGAAAGAGAGGAATATAACAAGAGAGATGAACAAACCATCAGAGGGGAAAATTCCAAAGGGGGAAAATTAAATCAGTAAGTACTGAGCATCTAAACAGCAGAGTTAACAGTGATTAAATCCAATCCCAACAGTGCAATATCCCATAAACACGTTATGTCTTTGTGCTAAAAATCCAAAGACTACAACCTGTTCTACCAATAAATACGAGTTCAATATAATCGATGAGCTAAGATGACAAGTATTTAAATCTGAAACAAAGAGCTGTATACAAAAAATATCTGGAGACAGGTTAAGTGGTATTTGAGAAAGCAGCAGTGACTGTGTAAGTTGGAAGGAAGGGTAAATGAATCAGTATTTCTGGCAAAATCTTTCCAAGCATTTTAGGAACTAATCCAGACTATGAGACAGGCTTCTATCTTTAAAGCAATCCTTAAAGACTATGCCCTTATCCTAAAAGCATCGTAGCTTGGCTGTTAGAAATATGTCCAAAAGGTAACCCCTCTGTGGCTCTTCTGTCAGGGGAAAACAAGGTCTAATAAATAGCTGAAAGCCTGATTCCCTCCCCCACATAAATAATAGCTGAGTGCAGTTGTTACCGGGACATATGTTCTCAAATGCTGGGAGTACGGGCATTTACTGACCAGTACCACAAAGACTTCTGCAAGAAGTTATAAACCCCTTTCTATCGCCTTGGGAAAGAATATCCATTTCTTAAAAGCTGTCGGTCCAAAGTTCAGGACAACTTGATCTGGAGCAGATACCGGTCTGCCAAAATCTTTCATGATCAAAAAGCAAGATCACCCATGGCATGCTCCGGGGCTGGCCTTGAACAGATAAGGTCAGGAGGGAGGGTTCTCCAGTGAAGCAAGCTGCCTCAGGAGTCACCATCCCATTGTCCTGCAAAGTTAAAGCCTCTCTTAAGCCCAGCTCTCCAAAAATACTGATGGTTTCCTCCTGCTTGGGTCATTTTGAAGTCTTCCAAGGCAGCTACCGCTCCCCTAGACTGGCCTGGATGGATTCCCCTATGGAGCTCTCTCCTAGATTTTTATACTTTGTTGGCAAGAAGGTCTTCCTACTCTGTGGGTCTTTGCTATTGTGCAACCAATGCAAGGATCACCCGGCCTGACTGCACCGGATTGGTTGTAGTACACAACTGGAGCGGCCCGCCCACAGCAATGAAACTAGCAATCTCCCAGGGCAAGGGCTGCCAGCAAAGTTCAACCCTCTAGAAAGAGGCCGCCCCATCGCCGAACGAAGGCAAAGTTCCTTAGTTAAAATGAAGCGCGGTCCCCTTTCAATAAGATCCTGCAAGATCGCCCTCCCGTGTCCTCGCTCTGGAGAACCGCCCAGCCAGGGACAGACAACCTTTGAGCTCCCTGGTCTCGTGACCGATTCAACGTGGTTCACCTCTCCCCCAGTGTTCTTCCTTGTAAACAGTTCCCGGTCATACTCGGAGCAATGCTCGGGATACTGCGCTGCCCCTTCCCCGGGATGGATCCATCCTACCGATTCGGGTGCCCTTCTCCATAATGCCCTCCACATCTATCCCCAAAAGCCTCATCGTCAAAAACCGATCCTCAGGGCTGCCAGCGCTGCACTACCCTCCCCCCGTCTTCCCCCCCCCCGGGGGGCTATTACTTGAGTATTATCTTATTCTCTCCCCCTAGCCTGTGCCTGGGGACTCCCCCCCCAACTCCACTCGTGGGGCAGCCTCATCCAGCAAGTAAACAATGCTGTCAAAGCAGGATAATGCTGGGCGAGGCGTCCGAACTCTGCATTCCAGCCTCCTCCGGCCGTTCTAAAAGCGGCAAAACAAGTCACCGCACGGTCCCAGGAGCGAATTACTTTGCTTCCTTTCTGAAAAGGCCCGGGAGAGAGCTCCGGAACCGGGCATCAACGTGCACAAATGCACGACGTGCAAGAGGCAGCAGGCGATGCAGGAGTGAGAGCAACGCCAAGCGCAGACGAATTTGCCCAGGAGGAGGCAGAGAGGGGGGAGAAAAGTGGGTCGAGCGCGGAAAGCTGCCACGAAGCGGGAACAAGGGCTTTTTTTTTTTTCTTTCCTCCGCCCCAGCGACGGGAGAGCCACGTTCCCAGAGCGGCGCGCTGCTGAGCCGAGGGGCTTGCAGCCGAGAGGGGCCGCGCGAAGTTAGGGCTCCCGACAGCAGGGTCCCCGGGCTCCGGCGGAGCTGGGGGGGGGGGGCGGCGCGGCTCGGGCACGCCCTGAGTTCGAGGCCCGCGGCGGAGGAGACGGGCTGCGGGCGCTCACCTCCCGGCGTGGTGGAGAAGAGCGTCCCCCCGGGCGTGGTGCAATAGTCATGAGGTAGCTGCGCGGCGTCGCTGATGGGCACGGTGCGCGTGGGGATGGCGCGGCTCTGGCTGGGCTGGTGGCCGCTGCCGGCGGACGAGGACATGGCTCTGGGCGCGGGCTCTCGGGCTTTGTCCGGCGGGCGGGCGGGCTGGCGGCGGCGGCGGCGGCGGCGGCGGCGGCGGCGGCGGCTGGGGGCCCGGGCTGCTCCGGCTGCTCCGGCTGCTCCGGCTGCTCCGGCGAGCGGAAGGGCGGGCGGGGCTGGGCGCGCTCCGCTCGCTCCACGCTTGCTTCCTCTCGCTCCCTCGTCCCGCTCCGCTCCCGCCGCCGCCCTCTCAGCCGCCGCCGCCGCCGCCGCCCGATCCTCCGGCCTCCGCCAGCAGCCTCAGCAGCAGCAGCAGCAGCGGCAGCAGCGGCGACGACGACGACCGGAAGCGGGCGAAGGCGGGAGCCAGAGGGAGTTCGGGAAAGCTGGTCGGCGGAAGTGACGTGGGGGCGGGGCCGCGGAGGGGCGGGGCCGCGGAGGGGCGGGGCCAATGGAGGGGCGGGGCCGACCCCCGGCGGGCGGGACGCGAGTTCGGGGTCCTTTGCGCCCAGTGTTTGAGAGCTACGCCAGGGTGGGGGTGGAGAACCTAGTAAGCTTTTTATTTTATTTTATTTTATTTTATTTTATTTTATTTTATTTTATTTTATTTTATATTTTATTTTATATTTTATTTTATTTTAATATTAATTCATGAGAGAGGCAGAGACACAGGCAGAGGGAGAAGCAGGCTCCATGCAGGGAGCCCGATGTGGGACTTGATCCCGGGTCTCCAGGACCACGCTGTGGGCCGAAGGTGGCGCTGAATTGCTGAGCCACCCGGGCTGCCCTTTTTTTTTTTTTTTTTTTTTTTTCCAATCGCTGGTCAACACCACTTTACTTGAGCCAACTTCTGTTTTCTAGCCATCTAAACAAAAGTGTAATTTTACTTTTAATTGCCCCATAGTAGGTATAGGCGATGCATGCATGATGCATTAGAAAAAGAATCAGGACTGCTGTCTGGACTGGTTTCCCAATTCCCCTTTCCCGGGGAGAGCCCTGGTACCAGCTGTGCACTTCTGTATACTTGTGTATCCTGCCAGAGACAGTCCCTTCCAGACCCACATAATGCAAAATCTACACATTAAGGAAACAAAGAGATTAATAGCTACTCATGTCACAAGGGTGAGTATTGTGTTAGAAAGGAACTGAAGCACAAGGAAAGATTAAGAACACAAGGTACCTGAAAAATCTAGTTTTGAAACGCTGGTCTGTCTTTCCTCTGAGGTTCTCATACTTTTCAAAGTTTACATTCCTAAGAATAACTGAGGATTCCCAAGAGCTTTTCTTTGTGTGAGTTATAGCTATTGATAATTACTGTATTCGAAATTAAAACTGAAAATTCTAAATAGGTTGCTTGATAAAACAATGTTCGGGATCCCTGGGTGGCGCAGCGGTTTGGCGCCTGCCTTTGGCCCAGGGTGTGATCCTGGAGACCCGGGATCGAATCCCACGTCGGGCTCCCGGTGCATGGAGCTTGCTTCTCCCTCTGCCTATGTCTCTGCGCCCCTCTCTCTCTCTGTGTGACTATCATAAATAAATAAAAATTAAAAAAAAAACAATGTCATTACATTTAATGTATTTTTATTTTAAAAATTCTATTTTTCAAAACAAAAAGAAATTACTGAGAACAGTGGCATTGTTTTACATTTTGGCAGACATTTTAACATGTGATTCGTAGAAGACAGCTGGAGCCTCACATCTGTTTTTGCACTCGATCTGTTGTGATGTGTTATTTTGATTCAAGTACATGAAGGAAAGCCAGATTCACACAGGTAAGTAGTTGAAAATAGGAAACCTCACAGAATCTTGGAAAGGGTCTCAGGGACCCCCCCCCCCCCCGCCCAGGGATCTCCAGATCACATTTTGAGATCTGCTGCTCTAGGCAGCATTGTCTCTGCCTACAACATACCCTAAATGGAATTGGAAAGAGAATCACAGGTACCACCAACATAACTATCATTCCCATTTTGCAAATGAGGAAATTGAAGCTAAGAGATATTGAGTGTTTAACCCAAATAAAATAGCTACTAGTCCTCACTACTGAGAGCCCAATCAATTGCTTAGTAAGCAAGCAAGAAAACAAGCAAGAAAAGTTACACAGTGAAGCAAACATTGTTATTGGTGGTCAGGTTGGGCCAGAGCATGACATGGAACTGATTTTGTGATGAGCGTCCAAGAATTCAGAAAGAAGAACCCCTCCTGCCCTGCACCATAGAGGTCCCCAGAGTTGGAGGAGCCTGAGCTCAACCATGAAAGTTTCCATGGCTTTGCATATGTCCTTTGCATATGGTGCCTGGCTGGCTCAGTAGGTGGTGGAGCTTGCAACTCTTGATCTTGGAGCTGTAAATTCAAGCCCCAGGTTCGGTGTAGAGATTACATAAATAAATAAATCTTTTTAAAGATTTTATTTATTTTAGAGAGAGCAAACATGAGTGGGGAGAGGACAGAGGAGGAAGGAGAGAGAGAGAATATCAAGCAGATTCCACACTGAGCTTGGAGCCCAACACAGGGCTCAATTCCAGAACCCAGATATCATTACCTGAACTGAAACAAAGAGTCAACCACTCAATGGACTGAACCACTCAGATGCTCCTAAATAAATTAAAAGAGAAAGGGGGGGGGCACCTGGGTGCCTCAGTAGTTGAGCATCTGCCTTTGGCTCAGGTTGTGATCCTGAGGTCCTGGGATTGAGTTCCACATCAGGCTCCCAGTAGGGTCCCTGCTTCTCCCTGCCTATGTCTCTGTCTCTCTCTGTGTGTCTCTCATGAATAAATGAATAATATATTTTTTAAAAAATTCAAAAAATTGGGACAACCCTGGTGGCTCAGAGGTTTGGTGCTGCCTTCGGCCCAGGGTGTGATCCTGGAGACCCGGGATCGAGTCCCACATCGGGCTCCCTGCATGGGGCCTGCTTCTCCCTCTGCCTGTGTCTCTGCCTCTCTCTCTCTCTCTCTCTCTCTCTCTCTCTCTCTTTCTGTGTGTGTGTCTCTCATGAATAAATAAATAAAATCTTTTAAAAATTTAAAACTTCAAATTTCAAAAAATTAAAATTAAAAAAGAAAGAAAGAGGCACTTTCTAGAGGAAAGAAAAGGTGAGATACTAGTTTACAACTGTGTAAAACTTACAAAGTATATGATTACAACATGCTCCTCTCCTTGATCTCTCTTTGATTATGGATTTTGGGGTGTTCTGGGAGATCTTTCTGCCCAGAGACTGGGTTGGAATATGGAATGAAATAAACTAAATAAGGTTGACAATTTTGAAATCACAAAGACAGGGAAGTATCATCTGTTTTTTAAATTCATTTTGACAGTCAACCTGAAGTACAGAAAGGAGCTCTCCTGTTAACAGCTATGTGACCATAAGCAAGATACTTACACTCTCTGAGCCTCATCCATATTATGGACATAACACCGTTACCTCACTGAGTAGTCCTGTGAGTGAAGCATATAAACTGTTTAACACAGTTAACAAATAATTTTTTAAAAGATTTTTATTTATTTATTCATGAAAGACAGAGAGAGAGAGAGGCAGAGACACAGGCAGAAGGAGAAGCAGGGTCCACGCAGGGAGCCTGACACAGGACTCGATCCTGGGACTCCAGGATCACACCCTGGGCAAAAGGCAGACGCTAAACCGCTGAGCCACCCAGGGATTCCCCACAGTTAACAAATAATTATCTTCTAGGAAGGTCATATTGAAATTAATGGAGGTCTAGAATTTTTGTTTTTTAAAAAATTAAAAAATCTTGATCTTGGATCTGTAAATTCAAGCCCCAGGTTGGGTGTAGAGATTACATAAATAAATAAATATTTTTATTTTTTAAAAAAGATTTTATTTATTTTAGAGAGAGCAAACATGAGTGGGGAGAGGACAGAGGAGGAGGGAGAGAGAGAGAATATCAAGCAGTGTGTCTGAGGAGCTCTGGTGTGTCTTCTTTCCCCAAACAGAAGGTATCATAGTCACCTGTTCTGGTTTCTAGCCTAGAATTAAATGTGTGTGTGTATGTGCACGCATGCACATGGTTGTGTATGTGCATGTATGGATGGATTTCATCACCTCTACACTACCCTAAAAAAAAAAAATACCCAAAAACTTAGTCAAATAATTTTTTCACACTCTTTCTAAAAACGTGTTCTTTACTTGTGTGACAGCTTTATTGGGATATAATAGTTTACCATACATTTTAGCCTTTTAAAATATACAACTCAGTGGTTTTTTAGTCATTCACAAACTCGTTCAACTGTCATCACCACCATCTGCTTTCAGAACATTTTTTTCACCCTGAAAAGATACCCAATATGCACTAGCAGTGGCTCACATTTACCTCCAACCTCCTCAGCCCTAGGCAACCAATAATCTACTTTCTGGTTATATAGCTTTCCTTATTTTGCAACTGGTCTCTTCCATTTCGCACATTTTCAAAGTTCAACTATGAGTAGCATGTGTCAATACTTTGTTCCTTTTTTTTTAAAGATATATTTTTTAAGATTTTATTTATTTATTCATGAGAACACAGAGAGAGAGAGAGGGCAAAGACACAGGCAGAGGGAGAAGCAGGCTCCATGCAGGGAGAGCCAGAAGTAGGACTCAATCCTGGGTCTCCAGGATCACGCCCTGGGTTGAAGGCAGCGCTAAACCACTGAGCCACCCGGGCTGCCCTACTTTGTTCCTTTTAATGGCTATTACAAATTGCACTGCTATGAACATTTGTGTACAAGTGTTGTGTGAGTACGTTTTCAATTCTCTTGGGTGTACACTTAGGGATAGAATTGTAAATGTAGATTTAACCATTTGGGGAACTCCCAGGCTGTTTTTCAGAGTGGCTGTGCCGTTTCACATTGCCACCAATGGTGTATACAAGTTCTTTGCCAATGCTTGTTATTATCTGTCTTCTTCATTATAGCCACCCTTGTGGATGTAAAGAGGTATCTCATTGTGGTTTTGATTTGCATTCCCTGATGACTAATGGTATTGAGCATCTTTTCATGCACCCATCAGCATTCCAGAGTGTATCTTGTTGGAGAAATGTTTATTCAAATAATTTGCCCATTTTATTTTTTTTAAGATTTTGTTTATTTATTCATGAGAGACACAGACAGAGAGAGAGAGGGCAGAGACACAGGCAGAGGGAGAAGCAGGCTCCGCGCAGGGAGCCCGATGTGTGACTCGATCCCAGGACTCCAGGTCACGCCCTGGGCCAAAGGCAGGCACTAAACCACTGAGCCACCCAGGGGTCCCCCCTAATTTGCCCATTTTAAAACTGGGTTGTTTTTTATTGAGTTTTAAGTGTTTTTTGTTAATATTCCAAAAACTGGAACCTCATCAGATATAAGACCTGCAAATAATTTCTCTCATTCTATGGATTATC